CCGACTACGGTCGGCTTCGAGCCGAACGATTTTCGCTCAAACAAGCTATATATCGGGTGGAGAGGAGGCGACAGAGATAGAGGAACCAGGCGTCGAAGCGGGAATTCCTGGCGGCGTTCCTGGTCGCGCCTTTCCGCGAATTACATGTTCCTCGCCCGGCTGCGCGACACGTACACCCTCACGTCAACGGGTTGCTTTTCTTTTCCTTCTTATTATTTTTTTTTCCGCTTTTCTTTTCTGTGCTACTGCTGTTGGCTCTTCTTCTCCTTCTTATGCTGCTTCGGTTTAGCTGGCAGGCGTTTGTGAATGGAGGAAAGACGACGAATCGGGGGGTGGGTAAGCGAACGTCGTTTGGGGGAACGATGAGATCGATGATGTACTAAGAGGTGTGTGTTTTTTTAGCGAAGGTTCGATAAGGGTGGTTTGGAGTAGATTAAAGAATGTTTATGACGTTTTTAGATGTAAGTGATAGTTTTGTTGCGATTTGAGATCGAGATTTCTAGTATTTATTCGTTGTCTTGTGAAATCGATTATTTATATTGAAAATTTCTATTTCTCTGAGTGATGTTAATTAAATGTTAATTCTACTGGTACTAACTCCGAGTTCACATGCACCGACAAATTGGCCGTGCAATCTAGCCCGGTGCAAACGAGATTATCTCCGATCGCATTCATTTCCGATCGCGAATATCGGGCATTTTTTCGAGTACAGAAGAAAAGAACAAGGAGAAATTGCACGCACGTAAATATTTACCAAAGTGCACGTATAAATAGGTCAGATAACAATCCGTTTCGTGAGCGATTCGAGTCCAACGCTATTCTATTCGGGCAGCGATTGCGCCGTACGAGTAGTGGAGGCGTCGCGGGTAGAACGGTGTGTGGTGGGGGTAGGTTATAAAAGCGCGCAGGTGAGGGGCGGAGGCCAGTTGACTTCGATCCGTTGAGCGTAACGTACACAGTACGGGCCACGTTACAACACTCTATCCTCTTGTGCACTCGTTGCGTTCGACTAACCATCGAAATTTCAAACAAACTCAGTTCGTATCGAGTAACGTTCCTCGCGAGTGACACCAGCTCGTAATTCACCACAAACATTCCTAAGTAAACGGAAACAGTGTGTGACATTTGTGTTGGAAACTACGTACCAACACCAAAAAGGAAACTTTGGAAAAACCAACAACGTTCTACAAAGTGGACAGAAGCAGAAAAAGCAGAAACGGAAGATCACGATTATAACCGAGAGTCGTCGTCGTCGTCGTCGTCGTCGTCGTCGTCGTTGCCGCCGCTATCTCGCGCGCTCACTTTGCTGGGTTGGTTCGATCGATAAATACACGGGGGTGCGTGCACTGGCGTCTGTCTGATAAGCGTCCGTACCTTTCAAAGGTGTGCCTGATCGAATTAATCGACGACCCACATCTTTTTTTAACGCACACTCGCCTGTTTGTGTGTGTGTGTGTGCCGTCGTCCGGACAGCAAGGTACTCGCGCGCGCGCGCGCGTGTCCACGTCGAGGAGAATCGACCAGAAGAGGGGAAAAAAAAACATAACGCGGAACGACATGAAGGCGATGGTGGTGAGCCCGGTGGGCGGTAGAGTACCGCCAAGTCGAGGTGTCCTGCACAATAGCTTAGGGATCAACGGAACCCGTCGGGACTTAGAAGCGGAAGAAGTGGCAGCTTATTTGACCAAGTTACGTTCGTTGGTACCCGACATGCCGAGGAAACGGAAGTTGTCGAAGCTCGAAGTGATCCAAAGGGTGATCGAATATATCTGTGATCTTCAAACAACATTGGAGGAGACGAACGTACACCACGAGTCCAGCGTGACGAAAACAACGCAGAGGCAACCTTTGCAACCGTTGTTGAACGCAACGACGACCATCCCTACGACGACAACCACGTCGACGACCACCACGATGACAGGGATGATCGCAGAACGGTGACCTGTGTCAGGGAATCAGCTCCAGTGAGGTCCAGGTCGCTGCGAGCTTCTTGTCCTCGTGTGCTGACGGGTTGACCTCCGTGTTTCAACGTCACGGGACTGTTCGAGTCTTCTTCGGGGAGTTGAATCGAGAGAACTCGGGCTCTTTGTGCAGCAACGCTTCGCGACACTCGATGGACGTTGCTGCCTGTGCTTTCGTTTCCTCGTCCTCGATTGTACAGAGATTTCTTGAAGATTTGAAGGTTCGTCCAGGATTTGGGAAAGGAAGGTTTCGATGATCCTTCTCCTCCTGGTGGTGGTGGTGGTCAGGTATGAACGAGAAGAATAGGAGTTTCCCGGCATTGTCAAGGGAGAAATGTGGAGGCTGGCATCGGGAAAAAAAGGATGGATGCGTTTTAAACATCTCGAGGAAGCGGCGGCAGCGGCGATAATTGAGGCGCCCCTGTGAAGGGAAGAATGAAAAGGAAGAAGGACGACGAAACAGGGCCTCCACGGCCGATCTTAACTTCTTTCTTCGTAGAAAGATGTAAATAGTTGTACATAAAACTCACCGCATTCCTCGCACGATTCCTCTTCTCATCTTAATCGACTCACTTCTTTTTATCCCCTCTTACAACTCTCCTCCCCTTACTCTATTCCCAACTCGATCCTTGTAATCCTTTCCTAATCTAAGCTGCGTTCACGTAAGTTATGTATCGTTTCTCGATATCGTAACGACGATCGAGATGTTTCCTTTTCGCGTTTCATTTTTACACCCTTTCGTATCGATGAAAGACTAACAACGCAGGAAGATTACGTTTCTTTCGAGTTTAACATTTGTGTTCCGAATAGAAATTCCAATCGGTTGTTGGTGGAATCGGTTCGATTTCAATTTTTCTGTCTTTTCTCTCCTTTGTTTATAGTTTGATTTTAAGACAACCGGTGTATTTAAAGAGGGGAAAATCGATCAGTTGCGTTCTAATTGTAAGTACAGCACCCCTTCTGTCGCAACCGGTCGTGAATGAATCGCGCGCCTCGCCTCTTCTTTTGTAGTTTTCACGTGGAAGAGAAATGTTTATATCGTCACGTTGATCAGAGCCTGTATTATTTGAACTCCCCTTGTAGATAATAAAGCGGATTATTTGTACTATGGTTATTATTACATTAATCGCAAAAACCGTCGTCGACTCTATATTA